AGGCATCTACCACATATTCCACAGATCGATTCAAGTTACGTGCACAAATAAAAGCCTAACAGTGTGTGTGTGTGTGTGTGTGTGTGTGTGTGTTTGATGAGTTTCTGATAAATTAATTTACTCATTAAACTGTGCAATTCAATACCAGTATGAATATCAATATGATCTAATAGAAGAATTGCATATGAATACTCATATGAATTGCATATGACAAATATAGAATTTTTCTGAAATAATTTGTATTCTTCATAATACTTATATGACTGGGTATCTAAAACGTAACCGAATAAATCCGAATTAAAACTTATTTGTAATGTAAGATCTGGGGGATCGAACATTTCGACACGCAAAGTGAATCGCGCACGTGACTGGACAGAAAGTGAAGCTTCATTTGTCATTGGTCACGTGATTTCTATGACAATTAACAACACAACACAAGCTTCGAATTGAGGCTTCATCTAGCATGCCCATTAGTGATGCGCGGATGGCGGATAATCTGCGGATCGGGTGGGTCGGGTAATAAAAAAATGCGTTCTGATTATTTGCGGGTGGGTCGCTGGTGGACAAAATAAATCATTAATGATGCAAGTATTAACTACATTTTCTAAATTATGAACATGTTTTAAATAGGCTACAGAAATTTAATAAACTGTCAATTAACATTAAAGGTTATTCAACAAAACATTATTTAGTCAAGAGCAGTAAGGGATTTTCTCTGTCTTTTGTTGTTTGATTAACATTAATAAAAGAAGGCACAGCTTTTTTAGGCTGCTGTCACAAGACTTATTTCACGGATCCAATACTGATAGCCATGCGTTTTATTTTGCAACTGATTACATTAACTTAAGACAAACCCGACAGTACTTTCTCAATTTGGTACTCGCAGTGGTACCACTGCGGTGTGACTGTGAGCGCACAGAAAGCGCCTCTGGAGAGCGCGAGTACCCAATGGCTTAAAAAGACGTGAAAATAAGACATTTTTGTGACGATGCAACAATGACCGATTAGGCAATTGACAATTTTGTCAATTGTCCCGAAACGCGAGCTACAGTCTTCTATCGCAGAGTGCAGCAGCTCTAGATGCGGCAATGTGAAGCGAAAGTCCAAGAGAGAAGACGCGGTACAGCTGAATCACTCACGCTGTTTTCATCTGATGGTTTGTGTGGATTTATTTACTCATCTAACCTACACGCTATATTGAATAAAGGTTTTGCAGTAATTTCCCTCATTTTAAAGTCGAAAGCTGTGGGAATGAGTAATGCGATGTATGCGCAATCCCGCAACGAAATTCAGGATCTGATTAAACATAATTCTATTACACAGAGACTTGTGAAATAGATTTTCATGACTTTTCAAAAAGTATCTTTTCAAGACTTTTCAAAGAGTTTATTTATTTTTACAAAACTTTCTAGGCCTGGAAATTGCTGTTCAATGACTTTTCCAGGTTTTTCATGACCGTACGAACCCTAATGTGATGATCGGGTGCGGGTCGGGTGCGGTTATCTAAATCAGACATAAATACAGGTGCGGGTGGATAATTTATTTGAAGCTGCGGATTCGGGTGACGTTTTAGCTCATCCGCGCATCACTAACACCCATTTATTCTCGACACATGCTCCGATGCCTCGGTTCAAATGTCACATCACTAGCAGGGGGTAATACCACTAACTTAAGAAACCAGGTCAGGTACAGTTCATATATCTGACTGCTTGTATTTATTGACAAAATTGTGTAAATGTGAAGTAAAATTGAAAATTGAGGATGCAGTGCATTGTCAATGCATTATCTATCTATCTATCTATCTATCTATCTATCTATCTATAACCTGACTCTGTCTGTCTGTCTGTCTATCTATAATCTGACTCTATCTATCTATCTATCTATCTATCTATCTATCTATCTATCTATCTATCTATCTATCTATCTATCTATAACCTGTCCCTGTCTGTCTGTCTGTCCATCCAACCATCCATCCATAGCAACACCTTAGCAACCACCCCGGGTACCCTAGCAACAACATAGCAACACCCTAGCAACCACCCCGGGTACCCTAGCAACAACATAGCAACACCCTAGCAACCACCCTGGGTACCCTAGCCACAGCATAGCAATACCTTAGCAACCACCCCTCATACCCTACCAACAGCATAGCAACACCTTAGCAACCACCCTGAGTACCATAGCAACACCCTAGCAACCACCCCGGGTACCCTAGCAACTGCCTAGCAACCACTCAGATGACTGACTGTGGTCCCAACTGCCTTAATATCATTAACAAGCTCCTCCCGTGTAGTTTGGGGCTGATCCTTACACCATGAGGCAAGATCTTGCATGGAGCTTCAGACCAAGGCCGATTGATGGTTGTTTTGTATTTCTTACATTTCCGAATAATCGCACCAGTAGTTGTCTCCTTCTCACCAAGCTTCTTGCTGATGGTCTTGTAGCCCATTCCAGCCTTTGTGCAGATCTACAATCTTGTCTCTGACATCTTTGACAGCTCTTTGGTCTTGCCCATGGTGGTGGGAGAGGTTGGAATGGAAGATACAGATTGTGTGGACGGGTGTCTTATACACCTAACGAGCTGACATTAGGAGTAACTTCTTAAAGTGGCAGGACTAATCTGTGTTCCACATGGGCACATAACCAATCTGTGGGAGACAGAATTCTTGCTGGTTGGTAGGGGATCAAATACTTATCTCACTCACTGAAATGCAAATCAATCTCTAACCTTTATATAATGTTTTTTCTGGATTTTTTTGGTTGGTATTCTGTCTCTATCCATTAAAATAAACCTACCATAAAAATTACAGACCCTTCATTTCTTTGTAAGTGGGCAAACGTACAAAATCAGCAGGGGATCAAATAAATATTTTCCCCACTGTAAGTTTCAAAACAGTCAGTCCACAGTAAAATGCACACAGCCTGCATAAAGTAGCTGTGATTTTTCACGAACCGTTGTGACTTCCGTAAAAAGTTGACGTCAGAACTACTCAGTCACCGCCTTCAGTCGCCCACCATCCCACTCTCCTTTAGCCACACCCCCAGACAACATCGCGTCCATGCCATTGCTGAGCAACAACAACAACACGGAAACATGTCGAAAAGGTTAACTTTAACCACGAAACCAGATCGGCCGAGCTGTAACGTTACACTCTCTCTCAAAGGATGGACGATCTGACAGGATTGTTACTATGAGGTGATCATATCTAACATGTATAGTAAAGACAAACTCACCGTCTATCTAGTCACGATGAAGATGTTTATACATTTCAATTTCAGCAGGCAACTATTTTTACAGCTACGTTATTGTTCCAGCCACAATTAATCACAACAATGTATATACAATTACAAATAATTATATATAAATCGTCGGTTTGTTGTTTTACACACATGCACACAGACATTATTTCATACACGACATAATTGTGAGATGCAAGAAACATAGACATATGGCAAGAAATCTGTAGACGCGCCCATAACAACAAAAGACAATACTTTATTGAACCTTTTCTGATAAGAAGTGTGCGCTGCAAATGCAAGCATTTTTGACGATCGTTTCTGTCCAGTCGGCTCGTTTTATCGCGTTTAACCACAGCTGTCGTCGGTTTTTTGTCTGGCAGTGGCAGCAGATATGTGATCAAATTTCTAATTTGAGGCTGTATTACATCGATTCTGGCACCCAACATCACAACAAGATGATATTTTAAGCTCCTTGTGTAGCCGAATCTGCGCTGGTTTGAATGGGCTGCCTCCAGCTAGCGCTGTGACGTCGCTGACCCTAGTTACCTGTGATTGGCCTGGCCGTGCGTCACTCAGAACACAACAGGCCAATCAGAAGAGAGACTCATGAATATTAATTAGACAGGACAAAATCGACCTGTTCTCAGCAGAGCTCCTGAGAGAGGAGCTGTAAAAATATACTGAGATGGTTTTTGGTACTTATACTGCAAATATATATTCTTAAGGACATCAAAGCCTAAAATAAAACTCCAGAAAGGTGTAAAATATGGGACCTTTAAAACTTTTCCAACTTTTTCAAACTTTCTGGTCCGGCTTTCTCAAGCCAAATTAAAGTTTGTCTTGACAAACTTTTTTTTATCTAGTTTGCTTTATGCAGTGTTTAAATTGAGTATGTGTGCTTTGTGTAAGGTGTGAGAACCATTTCAAACATAAACCAAAGGCTCATTGCTGTTGTGTGTTTCTCTGTGTGTGTGTGTTTCTGTATGTGTGTTTGTTTGACAGTGCCTCCAACCAACATCTTTATCCAGAGTCATGATGCAGTCAGTCAACTGACCAATGAAGTCAGAGCGTTAAAGGAGGAAAATATGGCACTACAGTCAAGGTTACAAGCCAGCAGAGGTACACACACAGACAAACAGATGAATGGCTCAGATAAGCGATAAATGCATACTGTTGTTGTGCCTCCAGGAACAGGGTTGGGAAACACGACTAGCCAGGGTTGGGAACCACTGGACTAGACAACCTATAATACTGTAGCTGATGGAGAGCATCACTGTTTAGCTTTTCTTTTACTCAGCCCAGCAATCTACAGACCACGTAGATATCATTTGTGGACAACATTGCCAAACATACAGTAAGTGCTACAGATCACATGCATTTAATGTCTCTGCTAAAAGCGGATATGTATTTCAGCAAAACACTCATTAATTCACATGAATCATATTACAGTCTTGTGAATTTGCAGAATGAGCATCACTGTCTGTAAGACTCTGGAGAGTTAATTTGACATTTGTGTGATGCAGACTGCAGTGAAGAGGCAGAGCAGCTCCAGGAGGCGGTGCTTTCTGGGCGTGTCCGTCTGCAGCAGGCGGAGTTAGAGGCGGAGCAATGGAAGGAGGAGTTGAGGAGGCTGCAGACACACAACTGTGAACAAAGCCAACAAATCCAACAACTGCGACAGGACAGACAAAACAGTCAGGAGCACAACAACAGGTCAGAGAAACCATGTGAACACATAGAAAGAGCAGCTCCGTGTGTTTCTGCTCGTTGTGATCTGTTTCTTACTGATAAGTATGACACGTGAATGAAGGCTGTGTAACTATTGATCTGTGTTCAGACTGCAGCACGAGGTGACTTTACTCCTGCAGCAGTTAGCAGAGAGCAGACAGCTGCTACACTCCCTACAGAGTGAACTACAGCTGTACGACCGCGTGTGTGGCATGAGAAAGAGCGCCGCTGCAGGTGAGATGCCGCAGACGCACCACAACATCTGTAAACGATACTGGAATAGTCCACACACATCCAAAATAAAAAGATTCCGAGTTTCTTTTTTCCTGTGAAATGCAACAGATGTATGTAAAAGAGCCCCTTCACTGCTGCTCACTATTGTGATTTGCTGCGGTGCATTATCTATCGTGTGAATATGTACATGAGTGATGTTGAATATTGAGCACTAGACTCTCAGCAAATGACAGTTTCCAGTTACTCCAAACAAATCACATATAGATTTTATCATCCAGTCGGTGCATTGAGCCTCTGTTGTGTAGGGTTGGTGTGTGGCGTGCGCTGCCCGGCGGTGGAGCTCGGGGAGCTGCTGGTGGAGGTTCGGGCTCTAAGGGCCCAGCTGGAGCGCAGTGTGCAGGAGAACAGTGCTCTACGAGCTCAGATGCAGAAACAGCTGGATCATTGCATCGATCAGCGCCCGTCGCCCATCATCCCGGCCAGTCCGCTGCGGGATGTGCTTTACCGCCGACAGCTTCTGCACGGTAACGTCTGCACCTGCTGATTTCACATTGACCGTTCTGCATGCGTGATTTATAGGGTGGCCATATGTGCCATTTATTCGGGACACATCATGACCAGGATTTTTATATTGCCTGAAACATCCAAAGTAGTTTGACCAATAACATGCAGGTATTGTACATAATCGACCAATTGTGGCGCATGAGAAGGTGAGATCTACAGAGAATCAAAGCGATGCAAATATATGCACGTGTTAGGTGTGTTTGTTTGTTCGTTCGACTTGAAGTGTCGCTACGCACCAATCGTTGTATGACACCAAAGTACCGCAAGAGTGATTCGAAAGCATAAGGAGCCATCTGCTCTGCTCTCTATAGCTCTCGTTTATGTCATACAACGATTGATCTGCAAAGTGCAAACAGCCCAAACCTGGATATTTTAGGCAATATAGAAATCCTGGCAAGACACTTCCAGTAAAAATGGCCCGTATGGTCACCCTAGTGATTTAGCAAGTAGAAAACATGACACTTGTGTGTGAGGTGTTGTCATGTGCCCTGAGAATCTGCTTGAATATGTCGAGCATTACCTGCAGTTTGCCAGTGCTGTGGTTTGTGAATGGATGTGATGGTTTTGTGCTGTACTAACCGCTCTGCCGTGCTCCACAGACCCGTCTCCGTCTCCTCCTGTCAGAGACGTGGGGCCCCTGTACTCGCCGTACTCCGAGATAGAGGAGAGCGCTGTGAACACTAACGGTGTGTGCTAACATCAGCTGCAGCTGGGATGCTCATAATATCACTCTTTCAGTGTGGCAGAAATGCAGGCCTATCAAGTAGTTTGAATTGGGATTTAAGTCATTATTGTTTATATTATTAATTTTCTGCTGTGAAACATAACAACCTGCTGAAGTACTTCTGGTTGGGAACTAGTTATTAGTGGTCCTGCTTGAGGAATGTTCAAGTAATTAGGTTGATGAGAAGGACTAAAATGCGTCTTCTCTCTTCAGACTCACTGGAGCCTCATGCGGATCTGGAAGGAGAAGCTCCGGACGGCTCGTTCGCTAACCGTAACGGGCGGCACGCCATCGGTCACGTGGACGACTACAGCGCCCTGCAGCAGCAGGTGATGGAGGGCCGGGCGCTGGTGCAGCGGATGGAGGCGGCGCTACAGTCGAGTCTCAGCTCTGCCCTGCTGGAGATCAGCGGAGGAAAGGTGATGCTCAGATGCGTGACAGATCAGAGCGCTTGTGCAAACAGCAGTGGTGTCATGTGTTTCTCTCTTACAGGCTCTGGACTACAGCACAGTGAAAACGCTGCTCTCCGACACCAAGACCTTGTGTCAGATTCTGGACGAAGCCGTGTCTCTGCTCAAGATGTTCTGGCGGGCGGCGCTTCCGAGCAGCGACGGTCCCACTCATCTCATTCAGAGGGTTCGAACCGCATTTATTGAGCCCTAAAAATAAAATGCAGTGTTAATGTGAATGAACTGAGCTGAATGTGGCGCTGTTTCCTCTCAGGAGCAGTCGATGCGTGAGGAGATCCAGTCGCTGCGTTTGCGGATCGCTGAACAGGAGGATGTTCTTCAGGGAACCATCCAGCGTCTGCGCTGCTCCAACCGAACCAAAGAAAGCATGGAGACCTTCATCGTCAACCAGCGTGAGTCCAAACATGAAACAAACAGTGCTTTTTAGCCTAACAGCAGAATTCAGGCCAGTAATAGCCTGGCACAGACATCGAATAAAGTAATCAAATGTAAACTAAAACTGCATAATAGTCTTCACTGCGTGAATTAAACATCCCAAACACAACACATGACGCCCAAAGTATACTTAGCTTTTTTCATTTCGCTTCATCACAGAAAAACCGCCTGGGGAACAATGCGAGTTCTTATGTGGCTTAATGCATTTGTAATAACAACTGCATTTGGGGTTGTAGAGAGGAACGAAAGCAAAAAACAAAAAGGTCACATGCTGAGCGCAGCTCGTCTCAGTATTTGAACAATAACCAGTCAGAAGCTCAGGATGACAGACGAGTCCACTGATCACCTTTCATTTATTTCAGTATTTTGAAGTTTGTCAAAGTGAGTTCGGACTTTTGTTCTTATATGTGGTTGGTTTGTTACTGTAATGATGTCATCAGCATCCGAGCTTTAACAAACACGTCTGTCTTATAGTTTCCCGGACACGAGATGTGCTGAAGAAAGCACGAGTGAATCTAGAGGTGAGTGTTGGTTTGATCTCAGAAAGGTTGTGTTCAGTGCTGTTTGTCTCGTGTTTGTCCCTCATCTTGAATCTCGACCTCCTTCTTTCTTTCTTCTGTCTTTCCTCTATTTCTCTCATTTTCTCTGAGTGTTTCCAGAAGAATGAGCTCAGGATTTCCTCTCTAAGCTCCTCCTCTTCCTCTCTTTGCCATGGTAACGGTCTGGGTTGTGGCGTGTGTTTCAGCTCACGCTGCTTGTGTCGTCATTGCTTGAGCACATCATGTGTTGCTTGAGTTACTCATGATTTGTCCAATCACACACAGGGACGAGATTTATCACATCTCACTGACATAAAACACAACTTGTGATGCACCGAAATGATTGTTTTCTTGAAACAAACTAAAGTTTTAGTTTATTTAATAATCAACACTCAAAATGAGTAGAAACATTTAAATGTGCACATAATGCAGTTTTTATTGTGGCTCTACTCCAAATGAATGACTTTCCTGAGGTAAATGTGATGTGAATCCAGCATCCATACAGTTAACATGTTGTAGTTTATCCACACTGTGTGCATGATCATTAAACATCAGCGTTTCAGCCCTGCAGAGCTGGTCAAATATTTTCTGTCATGAAGACATTTGATGCCTCACTGCACACTACAGCATGTGCTAACAGACATAGCAACTGATCCTGAAATTATTCAATAACATAACAGAATCTTCAAACCGACTCTGAGTGTGTGTGTGGCTTGTGCGAGTGTGCGAGTGCGTGCATGTGAGCGGGTGTGTGCGAGTGTGAGGGAGTGTGCGAGTGCGTGTGTGTGTGTGAGTATTAACCTCAGGAATGCATCTCATTCTGTTTCTGCCCTGATGTGTTTCTGATAATCAGCGCTGATTGATTGTAGGGTCATGTAGGTTCTTTCACTCTTCTGCAGGTAAAGTCTTCACAGGTGTGTCCCCTGCATCTTCTGCGATCGCCGTGGAAACAGCCAATCTGCAGCAACCTGCCAAGAAGCGTGTCAGGGAGTGACATGAGCTTTCTGCCTCCCGTTAAACCAGCTGACAACCGGTCAACACCTCTAACTCACCCGCCTTACCCTCCTCTGTCACCGCTTCTGTGTGATTTGACCTCTGTCCTTTAACAGTGGGCCGTTAATATCCACATGCCTACTGATTGACACTTTGTGAGAAGACAGTATATATCTTTTGCCACGAGACAGAGAGGAAACACATTCTTTACTTTCTGAGATATAAACAGACTGCTACAGAATTCCCTCGAGTATCTCAGGGATTTTGGGCAAAAACACGTTACATTTGTGCGGCTGATCAGCATGCGAGCCGTTCTGAGCACTGACCGCTGTCACGAGACAAAATAGCAACTAAAGCGTGTGAAATAAGTTCACGTGCTTGACATTGTGCCATTTATTGTGCCACTGTTAGTATTAGTATGATTGTTGATATTGTCATCATTATCCAGTGCTACTGATTGAAATTGAATGTTGTGTTTAGTATTTGCATGATGGAGGATGTGAGGTGAGGTTCACCAAACAAGCCAAAGTTTGCATGGTTAATTTCCCTCATTTCAGCTGTTGATGACGACTTCTGTATGTAAACTGATTTCAAGTAACCCATGTTTACTAGCACTAACCACCTTGTAGGAACTGTGTAGGAGTGCTTTGGGCATCTTGGCAGTCGCTTACACCAGAACTTAATTCACAAGCAAATAAATGGGTTGAGGACACAATATAGAAAGTTGAGATTTTCAGCATTTGCAAAAATTAATATAGAATGCGAGTAAGTTGACATTGATTTGTGCACAGTTACTCCTGTGCAAATATAATCAATGACAGCGTTGAAGATTTCTGAACTACAGATTGCAAACTTTGGCAGGGATTGGTGGGACCAGAGCTGCTGATGTCACAATCACGTAGCCAATCACAATCGGAGATGTCTTTATTGCTCTTAGATTTGTGCTGCTGTATATTTTCTTTCCAAGCTGTAAGCATATATGCCTTCCTGCTGTTTGAATTTGGCGGTGTGCGTCAATCTAGTCAACCTTCGCTATAGGATATGCAAATTTATAAAACATGGGTAGCTGTGCAATAGCCATTTGATCTTGATGTGAGACATCGTATAGATGAACTTACTGTGTACATTACACCAATTTATAAACCGTAGAAGTTGCCTTGCCTCAAATCTCTTGCATAGGATGAAAATATATGCTTGTAAGTGAATGTTGCTTTGCCTTTAAACAGCCATGTAAGTGATTTCTCTTCAGAGAGAAATGCAATATCAATCTTTAAATGGCCTTGTGAGCGCTCCACAGTATTTGGGTCTCGTATCACTTTATTCAGAACCACAAATGAAATGTAACCGAAGGATTAATGTGATACAGGAATGTTTTGGATGAAATACCAAAGCCAGAGGGGGAAACAAACCTGAATTCAGGTAGAGAGAGAAATAAGCAGCAGATGCTGGTTCTGAAATCTGTATAATATGTATATAGTGCTTGAAGGCTCAGTTGTTGCTATAGTTACTGATGTTATGGTGTAATATGACAAAAGATTGCCGACATGAGCCAATCAAACTCTGTCTGACGCTGATGAAAATGTGCCATGCTTTATTACAGCTGCATTTGGAGTTTAAACAGGAATAAACTATAGAAATGCATTCGTTTTCATTTTGTCTGTGACAGTTGCATAAATGTTTTGAAATGTGTGTAATAGTTGTTTTTATGTGAACAAACAGAAACAAATCAACTAGGATGGTTTGCTTTATTCATTTTAGAAGCAAAACATACATTTATAATGCATAGCTCAACAAATAATTTATCAGTATATATGATAAAAAGAAAAACATTTCAAGTTGGACTTTCCCTCAAAATAATATCCATAAAGCTGTGGTGTTGCCATTATCTAATGAAATTCCTATTTTCAGTCTTTCCTTTCACACTTGCACCATATGATTATCTTTGGAGTGAATAAACCTTCAACGCCACACAATTCAACTCACAGCAAACAAATAAAACCTCATGAACATAATTTATATCATCCTCAATGTTAAAAAATTCCTGATTCAACATTTAATATTGATGGCCAGAAATGATAAAGCAAACAAAACCAAGCATTTCACACTACAATATTTAACGCAGACAAACATTATACACATTATGGCCACACATATGTGGATGCCCCATTCTTAGTTAACAAGTCTGTCTATTCCAGTAATTCTAGTGCAAAATGAATATTCGTGATACACGCAATACCAATCTCGAGATTTCTGTGCTTCCAACTTTGTTGCAGGAGCTTGTGGAGGGTTCACTGACTCTAGTTCTTCAACACCAGAAAGACCAGACCTGAACACCACTGGAACAGGCCAGTTAGGCTCAGGTGTCCACATACGTCTGGCATAAAATTTATATTTCTAACAGATGCAAAAATACATTCCTGCTTGATAAAATAAATAAAACCTGTCTGTCTGTCACAGTGAAACACGGCTAAAGTGCTCGTCTGACAGCATGATGGTGAAATTCAAACCACATGCAGTAAAACTCACGGTTCAAAATCTATTTGCGCCATTCTGTGATGCTGTTGGAAATGTTTTAATCTGTTCAGTCCTCCTTTACAGCTTCCTTTTGTTGAAATCATACAACTCTGCTCAAAGCACATCTATCAGTGCCGACATGAAAGTATTGAAGCGAATGGCTCTGTTAGGAGCGCAAACACTAAACGCCACTGTGTTCGGCTGAAACTTCCTTTTGTTCTGAAAACAGACAAATAAACATGTGTCTTTCCCTCAGTTTACAAAATGAATTATGAGACCATAAGCTATAAAAGCTTAGAATTAATTGTTACATTCAAATGTTCATCTGTGTTGAAATTCAAAACTTGACCTCACTTGTATTTATGAAGATCTTCTGTCTGCAGTTTTCAAATATATGAATCCTGTTTGACAGCGTTTTATAAAGAGCTTTGGACAGATTAATTCTTGCCTTCAAGACTGTAAAATGCTGCATCCAAGACGGCAAACAGGAAGTTTAGATGTCCATGTATTGCATGTGTGATGACAGGACACACACACACACACACACTCACGCACACACACACTACTGCTGAAGCGGACAGATCCACTGTATGCATCGCGGGTTTATAGTGCAATCTGGACTATAGTGGATGAGGACTGTAGATCACGTGTCATCCACAGCATTTTAAATTGGCTTGTACAGAAGAGACGTCACATATTTCTTCTTATAGCGATGAGTTGCACTGAGAACCATCACACCATCCTGAGACAGAAAACGTTCAATCACAGTCAGTTATTAATCAGAGAGAGATTGTTTGGTAGCACACGGCTGTTATACAGCTGTGTAACGTACCTTTATCGAGAGTGCGTACAGATGATTGAGCATCACGTGGTTGGGTTCTGGCAGCAGGGCAGGATCACACTGAAACATGCAAAACAAACTAAATTAAACCAAGACGTTTCATTCAACCTCAAGACATGGACGAGCTCATACACAGAATTAAGCCAAACCACACGATCTACATTACTGGACTGACATGATCCAGACTGATGTTTTTGCATTTAAAAAATGCAGGAATTAAAAAAAAAAAATATATATAGAGTTCATGAATTCAATTCTATTTACTTTTTTATTCAATTGAACTGACAGAGAAAGAATATTGATAAAACAAAGGAATATAAATATCATTAATACCTTGTTGAATGTTAATGAAACTCCTGGTTTTAGCACTGCGTGTAAAGCTGTATAAAAGTGGGTCCAAGATTGCTACAAAATCATTATGGCTGAAGGGAAAAAATCTTTCCATGTAAAGAATTTGTTAAATAACAATGTGCATGGTTCTGTTTATTATGTTTGTGCTGCAGAAAGACGAGCGCACAGATACCTTTTATTCATGGGGATCTTGCTGCTCCAGTTGTTGAAGGAGCCGGTGATGCAGACCTCCTTGCCTCCTCCGGCCCAGCGGATCACTGTGGGTCGAGCCTGCCGACCCGTCTTCATGTCCTCTAGATCCGGAGCCAAGTCCTTCTCACCCGCGGCCTGCAGAACAGATTAAACTGCAAACTCACTCGCTGTTCCTCAGGAGGGCAGCTTATCATAACTGAGGTCATTTATGCAGCAAATTCTTGATTACTGTTTACCTATTAATAGTCTGTTTAATTTTCAAAAAGAGGCTGGAAGATGGTTATGATGATGATAGTGAAATATTACGTGAAGCGGACAATAAAATATTGGCAAACTGATCAAATGCATATGTGCTTATTACGCAGGATTTTCTGAGAATACTTGCTTTATAACATTACTTTCATGTGTTCTGGCATACTTTAGACTCTGGCCCGTGTGTGTTGAATATATTGGGGCCGTCGGTGCTGGGCTCCAGGTCCCGGTCCCGGGGGGCTCCGCTGTCGGACCGCTGCAGCTTCGCTCCGGGTCTATCTGCAGACACTGGATCGCTGGTGTTTCCCATGATGCAGCAGATTCCTCTAACCCAGCCTTCACCACACTAACAGACCGTATGAGAAGAAACATGTTACTGCAAACACTTCAGTACATTACATCTTTACACAAATGCTTTCAGATGAGAAGGATTATTCAACAGAGTGGACCGTGCTGAACATACACTTTCTAGGAACATTTATTACTTTATATTTAGTAAACGTATTAAATGTTCAGTATTGAGCTTGTAGGACACACTTCTGTATTCTGCGCTTTTTAATTGACGAACAAAACGTGATTTGATGCATTTCTACAAAGTCAGAAACCCTTAAACTCATAAACTGCTACTGTACATCTAAACATCTACTATATGTGACTGAAGACGAACCCAAAAACATTACAGACGCAGTACTAAAGGCAAGAGGAACTTATTGTTAAACGCTTGCAAGACGAGTGTTATAAGTCTATATCTGAGGAATGAGTGTTATTGATGAGCAGCTCGAGCTTGCTAGCTGTTAGCATGATGATTAATCAAACGAAGAAACTGTTATGATATAAACTGCAAGTGTTAAAAAGTTTGTGGTAAAGTAAAATGTAAAACAGCGCAATCAGTACCGAAGACAGTTAACTGTAAGAATGAACTTTACTTCCACTGCCTCGAACTTTAACAACATACTGCAAGCTGACCGCTACGGCGAGCCGAAGGATCCAAAACAAGTCTGGCTTCTTCTTCTGCTGCTGCTGCTGCTGCTGCTTCTTCTTCTTCTTCTTCTTACTTTACGGCGGATCGCAGACTTATAACTTATAAGTGCATTACCGCCACCTATCGCTCAAAGGGACACATGTGCTGATGTTTTTGGAGAGTTGCTTTGGTTCATACAGTAATAGCCTTGACCTACATACAGTATTCTGTCCTCCTCAAATCCTGAAAAAGTGTGTACTTTTAATTTGTAGCCTACTTTTAACCTTGACAGCAGTGTTTAATGAAGTTCTACTGCATAATAAATTTTTAACAAGCAGAAAACATCATCATGATACACAGTCTTACTATTAGCTTTGACTTTTAGCTATTATAGTCTTTCGAAGGACAAACACTTTAAAGCTATTGGCTTTACATCATCAAGTCAGCTGTCACTTTATTATGCCACACACTTGGCTGATTTCCGAGAACAGCGCTGCTCACTGCATTTGTTGGTCGCGTCTTACATGGGCTTGCGTTCAAAACTGCATACTCAATGAGACGTAATTTCAATAAATACTTCCTTAACAAGCGCTAAAAGAGTACATACTCTACAGCCAAATCTCGTTAAGTGTGAATGCGATCCGGACATCATCTGCCATTCTGACGTTATCATGTGATCTATGACGTAATAACTAGCTCAACAACTTAGAGTGCATGTGGCAGGTTAGAGACTATGGAGTGAGATTAGTCTCAATGGTAATTCATGCAAAAGGCACGATGCACACATGCGTAGCCCAATTCACATGCATAAAACCTACTTCACGTGCACGAAAAAAAAAATCTATATATTCACAAAAAACAATTCACATGCACAAAATAAGAATATATTTTTAGGTCACACAGATTAAATTTTGGGAGCATATGCTATAAAAATGGTCACAATTTCGAGCCCTGGTTTCCCTACTAGAGGAGAAACAAAACGATGCATCAAGTTTTATTCAATTCACATTTATGTGTATAGCAATTTTTATTATACACATTGTTTCAAAGCAGCTTTACAGAAAATGAATGCCTCTACATTACAAATAAGAGTTCTGTTATCAGGTGTAACTGTGTCAAAGTAATGTTCATATGGCAGAAATGTTCTAAAATTAGGATGTACAAATCATGCAGTTAGTTAACATCATGTATTCAGCAGAAACAATGAACACATTAAAGCAATGATTACATGATGTGATGATGTTGATTATACAATGCAAGGAAGATTTGGCAGTATTGTATGTTTATTCAGAGTTGGTGTCATCTGAAGTTCTCTCAAGGGTTGGTGTCATCTCTTCTCAGGTGCTGGTCAGCTGAAGTCTTCATAAGAGGCTGGATATAGTCAGCAGCAGCAATCTAAATATAGCTATAGATTACACCAAGAAAAAGTGGTGTAATCATACTTGGGAATTGGCACTTTTTTGCAAAGAACATTGAAAGACTTGCAAAAACCCAGTGAACGGACTCATTGTGAATGTGATGTCTCATTACAAGTAGTCTTCAGGTGGTTCTTGTTCTGAAAGCAAGATAAAGGTATTTATTAAAAATAATAATAAAAAAATTAATTACAAAAAAAACTAAATAATGCTTTTTTATGTTTAAAAAAGCATAATTAAAAATTGTATGTTTATATATTAATGCTCAGCTTAAGTATCAAGACAGTTAGCCAGCAGATAATCTAAAAAGGGGTGCCACACCTTGTCAAAGGTCTTTAAAGAACCAGTGAGTGGCAGTCAAATATTTTCCAATTTAATGCAGGTAACACTTCTTTTAACCATGTATCAAAGGAAGGGGGTGAGACGTGCTTCCACTTTAAAAGGATGAGATGTCTTGCTAGTAAAGTAGTAAAGGTTAAAGCCTTTTGGACCATTACTGAAAGGTTAACATCTACTGCCAACCCAAAAATGGCCCAAAGTGGATTTGTATCGATATCTATGTCAAAGACATCTTTCAAAGTTTTAAATATTTTAGTCCACTAATCAAATAATTTAGGGCATTCCCACAACATGTGAATGAGATCTGCTGGTGATTGCTTTCACCTATTACATGCATCGCTGACAGAGGGGTATATTTTGGCAAGTCTAGCATTAGTATAGTAAACCCTTGTGACGAGAGGGGTGGGGCAGAGAGCCGTGGGAAAGGAGCGAGGCCGGTGGAGCAAATGCAAATGCGCGACACCTGTGCCACTCACCAGCCTCGAGTCCCATGGAGGAGCTCCGGAAGGATAAAAGGAGGAGTGACAACAGTGTTGGACGAGAGAGGACCAGGCCTGGACATTATTTTGTGTTTTGTGTGCGGCAGTCGTCCGCGAGGAGCTGCCACTTTACTTTAATTTTGTGTTGTTTTATTTTATTAAAGTGTTTAAATGTTCGCCGGTTCCCGCCTCCTTCTTCCCGGTCTACAAACTGTGTTACAACCCTATGTAGAAGCTTACATTGTATAAGCCCATGTCTTGCGCATATAGATGAGGTGTGAGTGAGCTCAAGAATACGCTCCCAGTGTTCATCAGATAACTCAAATCCCAATCTCTCTTCCCAAGCACCTCTGGCCTGATTTGCAGAGCCTGAGTTAATATTGTGGATCAGATTATAAATGACAGAAATACAATGTTTTGAGTGTGGTTCAAGCTTTAAAAAGTCATCCAATGGAGATTCAGGGGGACGATTTGGAAAATGAGGGAATAGCTTTTGCACAAAGTGCCTGACTTGAAAGAAATGAAATAAGTGGGAATTAGGTAGATTGAATCTCTTAGAACGATTATTAAAGGATGAGAAAATACTGCTCTCATAGAGATCATCAATGGTCTTTATGCCTTTATTGAACCATATTCAGAACGCCTCATCCATAATGGATGGCGCAAAACAGTGGTTTTTAAAAATCGGAGAATGGATAGAAGATCTATGCAAACCAGTGTGCTTGCTAAATTGAGTCCATATCTTAACTGAGTGGGATACTACTAAATTTGAAGTAAAATTGGCAGGTAAATGTAATTGAGAGGATATAACAGAGTTCAGAAAGAGGCGCGCTGAGGACTGTTCTCCAATATAAATTTTTTTGGGTATTGCAAGCCCAATGATAGTGTAAAAAATTTGGGAGTGCGAGACTGCCTTTATTTTTAGGGAGCTGCAAACTTGTTTTCTTAATTCGAGCTGACCTATTTCCCCATAAAAAAGAAGTGATACATTTGTCCAAATCCATAAAAAACTTTTTCTTAAGGTAAATTGGAATATGTTGAAATAAGTACAAAAACTTGGGAAGAACAGTCATCTTGATTAAGCTTATACACCCAGCAAGAGTAAAAGGGAGGTTAGCCCAGCGTTCCATGTCAGATTCACAATTTTTAAGTAAGGGGACAAAATTAGAGACATACATTCCAGTTAAAGATTTGGTCACAAAAATACCCAAATACTTATATCCATCGGCTGCCCATCTAAAAAGGATGCGTAAGATTATTTGCCAAAGAATTTACAGGGAACAACTCACTCTTATGAAAGTTAATTTTATACCCTGAAATTTTGCCAAAATTATTTAGAATGCTCAAAATAATAGGGACAGAAACCACTGGGTCAGAAATAAAAAGTAAAAGATCATCAGCATATAAGGATAATTTATACTCTCAATCTACCTGTTTGATACCTTTAAAATTTACATCCTCTTGAAGCCAGATGGCAGCCCTGCCTAGTGCCCCTCTGAAGCAAAAATGGAGATGAAAACACACCATTAGTTAACACGGATGCCTGCGGAGAGACGTACAATAGTTTGACCCAGTAAATTAACCCATCATCAAAACCGAAACTTTCCATTACATGAAATAGATATCTCCATTCCACTCTATCGAACGCCTTTTCCGCATCAAGAGCCCAAACCACTTCTGGCACATCTGAATTGGGCATATTGAGAATATTGATAAGTTTCCTTGTATTATAGAAAAAATGTCTTCCAATCATAAAAACTGTTTGGTCAGCCGAAATTATTTGGGGTAAAACCGCTAGGACAAAATCTTAGTTAAAATTTTATAATCCACGTTCAAAAGTGAAATGGGTCTATAGCTACACAAAGGGTCATAAAACTTCCCAGTATCTCAAAACTCCCACTTGGGACGTCAGCCTTTCTTATTGGACAAGCCCATTTTGAGAGGCAGGAATCTTCCGAGACATTAAAAGCCCCACATTAGGGACCCGCCCAGAGTCGGTGGTTTGTTAGGTTTTGAGAAGATGTGAGCTACAATGCTCCAGGACACCCTTAAGTTTTGTCCCAGGCCTTCGGCCTTGAATTTCCATTTCACCAAGATTCTCTGACGCAAACTGGTTCTTTTTCATCAACCAACTTCAGCAAGATCCACGCGAGCCTTCAGATTGCATCAAGCCTTTCTTTCAGACAGACGAGACGTGCAAGTATTCAAACTTAGTCTTATTAATTGATACATTAGGTATAATTTGCAACTTTTTACAAAGGTGTGTTTGAACTAAGAATCTGATGTTTTCTCCAGGTTGTAAATCTGCTGAATATCAAATGGTACCATAGTTTCATATTCTTATTTCTCTTCTCTTTACTGCGTTAAGCTTTAACCCTTTCCTATGCAAACTGTATGTGTGTGTGTGTGTATGTGTATGTTAGACCAGTTTAAGTGTTTATGTAGTGTGCTAGACTAGTTTAAGTGTTTATGTAGTTAATAAAGTCTTATTTGTATCACACTTGACGTTGTTCATTGTTTGCTCATAACTGGAGTCACTTAATCATGCAGATTTATGCTACAAGCTCTTTGTAGAATTGTACAGTAAGAAAGTTATTTCCCTTAACCAGGAAATTAACGTTCTTAGAATTGACAGACAGTTGACCCTGAGAGGTCAGCTAAATATCTACAGCGGATCTAAATATTTATAATTAATTATAACTAGTTATGATTAATTATTCATATTTCCCCATGAGCTGATTCGCTACACCTCATTAAACATATTCTGTAGTGCAGGTGCTAATGATGTAGAAAACACTTTATAGAACTCAGTGATGAACCTGTCAGGACCTGGTGACTTG